AGATTTTAAAGATTCAAGATTCTATAGATTTAAAAAAAAAAAGATACTTTTAAAATAAAAAACCTAGGATTCCATATTAGAGATAATTTTCAAACATTCTAAAGAAACAGTGCATTTCTACTATTATTTAATATCTACAGTACTATAGGCTATATATTTTATATAGATATAAAGATTCTGCTGTCTACTATAATTGGAATCCTTAGAATCCTAGAATCTTAGAATCTGTACAAAACCTCAAGTCTCGAGACATTTCACACAGTTGTCACATTATGTAACCTCAACAGTCAACACAGATCGACACAGCAGTTCCTTGTTAGCCTTCATTGTGTGCAATGTGTTTTGTGTAAACTTTTGTGTGCTGCTCTTAAAACTGTGGACACACAGAGTTACCTTGCTGTGACTTATTTTATTTTAAAGGGGTCATATGATGCTGCTAAAAAGAACATTATTTTGTGTATTTGGTGTAATGAAATGTGTTTATGCGGTTTAAAGTTAAAAAAACACATTATTTTCCACATACTGTACATGGAACAAGATATAATAATAACTCATTTCTGCCACCTCCACACATAACATTATTTGTCAAGGCAGGTTTTCTTACAAGAATCAATTTCATATGTTATTTTTGTGATGGATAAATGCTAAAGAGTTTAATTAAGAAAGTCGGTTGAGTACTAAAATTAAGGTTTAGATATAATATTAATGCACTTATTTAATCAAGGATATCATGATTTTCATGCAGTTTAAACCTATAGCTCGTAAATAACAGTACGAGACATGTAGCGCTCGTGTCTGTCTGTCTGTATCTGTGGAGGAACACACAGTACAGAGAGCAGAAGAGAGGGCTTATTGTTAGAGCAGTTAAAGACACTGCTTGGACAATGCTGTCTCTGGACTGTCTCTCACACTGATCGTTTGCTCTGATTCACACAGTAGATGCTCTTTCACACAGAATTGATCCTCACACACACACACACACTGAGAACAGCATGTCAGATTTGAAGCTGTTGTTTAAATGGGAGAGTTCAAGAAGTCCACAAAGCCGTTTGCACCACGCTCTTTTGTCACTTCATATTTTATTTATTCATATTTAAAATATTAATATACACCTAATATTCTTAGTTGTGAAACTGTTATAAATATTGGATCCTCTATGAATCATGTTATAGCCATGGGTGTAATCATGTCTTATGTAAAGTAGTGATAGATGTGAACATTTCGACAAATGGAAATTGTTGAGCATTTGAATGGAATGTATGTGTGTTTTTAGAGACTTGTGGCAAGTGAATGATGACGTCAATATAATTCATGATTTAAAAAGTGGATGGGGGAACTGAATTATTCAACGCACTGAAGAAGGCCGTGAGCCGAAACATTTTTGTTTAGTCCTGCTGGTGATGTGATGAAGTGGTATTTTTGTGAGTTTACTTTAAAGACATTTTTGGGTGAATTATTTTTTTTTTTTTTTTAGTACTATATTATTATTGTTGTTATTATTTAAAAGATGCATAATTCAATAATATATAATTTAATGTTAATGTTTTAATATTAAGGGGTGTTATTATTAATGATCTTTAATGGTAATAATTACACGTTAATTGTGTAATATAGTATTTAGTTTAATTAGTAATTATGATGATGATGATGATGAAGTAATCAAGGTGGGTCATAAGTGATCCAAGGCAAGGTTATTATTATTAATTAAAATTAAACCATAATAAAGAAGAAGAAGAAGAAGAAATTGTTAAATAAAAAAATACCTGAAATAAACTAAGTGAAAATTAGAAAAGGTTTTTAATATATTTTATTTTAGATTGAAGGACTAAAATAACTCAAAATAAATGAACTAATATCAGGGGATCTAATGTTTGCATTCATCCTCTGGCCTTTTCTGATTTTCTGTGTTCACCAAAATGAAACTCCAAGAATATCACAGCTGTATTTAACTGCTGGTCAGGTCAGCGCACTAGACCAAAACTATAAATGAGCACATTCTCAGTACTCTTTCCTTTTGAAATCCAAGGTTAAATGAAATGTTATGAATATGAAATAAGTGATCTAACCAAGGAAATCTAAACTGATCCTATTATTTTAAAATCATTTGACTTAAAAGAGAAAAGCTTAGACCTCTCACCCATATTTGTACGTGTTTTTTTCCCACACACTCTATACATATCACACAAGTAAAAAAAGTAAAAGAGGAAGTTTGTTTTCTTGGAACGCCACCGTGGAAATGTATGCCACTAAAACAAACACATCTCTTGTGGGACTTACTCGCCCCCTCTCTTACGTTTCTCTCTTTTTCATGTCCTACTCTGTTCTTGGTTCATGATGTTCTGTTAGACTTCCTGGGATCCTTGGTTGACACAGGGGTCAGAAACACATCTATAGGGTCTAGAATGGTGATTAATGATTGGTTAAGTGAGTTAATTATTGTCTGAGGACATACATTGACTCTGTTGAAGAGGTTAAGGCTGGTTTTATTCATGTTTTAATTTCACTGAACCTCTCTTCATGTATTAAGCCCTATTCGCACGGGATTAGTATTATCTGGGGACCTTGTGTGATTTTGAAATTAACCCCCCACCTCTGAATTTCGTGTGGTGCATTCGCACGGGATAAGCGAAGCCTGTGATTTTACTCGAATTTACCGACTTATCTACCGGATACCCGGATGTCAAGGCTTTGAGAGTCCCGTTCTATGGTCCAGATGGATTTAAAAAAAAGAAACTAATATAGTTTCGTGCGCTGTGTCATTTACATTTCACCAGGTTAAAATAATATATCAAGCTCTGTGCTTGATTTATTTGTAACACATTAACCTCAAAACCTTTTCAGCCTTTTCTTTCTACAAATTGTATGGTGTAGCGATATAACAGCACCCAAAATACTATCAAACACTCCAACGCAGCTCCATTCTTCACGGAAGATGGATAAAAAGGCGCACAGCAAACAAAAACCTCGAAAAATGATATACGACCCGCCAAATGCAGGCCAAATCACAGAGATGCCGATTCGCACGGGACTAATATTATCACAGGACCTCGGTGTTCGGCGAAATATGGTAGGTCATTTGCGGGGGAATTTTTACTTTACAAATTACAGACAACAAAAAAAAACTTTTAAGCCATTTGGAAGTCAAACAAATATCAAAATATATCAAACATGTTCAAAGGTTGAAAAACTATGAGAATTATCAGCTTCTTGAATCTGAAATATCAGTGTAATTTATATTGTAAATGAACAGTATGGCATGAAAAGTGTGTTTAGAACTGCAGTGTATGTTGGTGTGTATGCCTAGAGTTAAATTCTGTTGAAATTCCCTAATCCTGCCAAAAAACAGCATAAACTGCTCATTGCAATTACATTTCATCGTCCCCTCTTTCAGCACGCACACACACACACACACACACACACACACACACACATCAATGCAGAGTTGTATTTCTGGGCACATGACTGCTGATTATGCAGGCACTTCAAAAGCACATCAGAGAGGACAATGACTCCGCTGGGGAGAGAGAAAAGCGAGGAGGAAAAAGCGAGGCGGGAAACGAGCCGCTCACAGATACAAGTGAAAGAAGCAGCCACAGGCAGGGCATGTTTTGAAATAACGATCATAACACAGCTGCAGGAATACACCGACTGACAGGCCCGTGGACCAATCACAGCTCAGTAAGAGGCTGTACTGGTGATTGGTGTTCATGAGTCTTATACCTGGAGGACTGAACAGCAAAGCACAAGCAGTACGTTTTAAAATGTAAATAGACTTGAGGCTGACACATTTGGACATAAAATAGCTCAATTTTATATAGTGATGTAGTAAAGGTGCCTCTTGAAGAACTGACGTAGGGTCACAGCCCTGCATCTGAACTCTACTAATCCAACGGGATACTGATCCCATCCAGCTGGGACCAGCTACGATTACAAGTGTCAGCTACTAGACAGACAACACACACACACACAGAGTACAAACACTAATTCATGTGTATTCAAGCAGACAGGAACACAGACACACCATTGATTCATGTGCAAACACACAACTAGATTATCAGAAAATCACAAAAGCCAGAACATTCACACATGCAGAGACTCATATTCTCACTGTTGTTTCTCGAATTGAAATAAAAATAAAACTGCGATATGACTTAGCACAATTATGAAAATGCAAAGAAAAATGTAATCAAATAAATATATGAGCCACACGTTTTAAAACAAAGCGCCGCGGCATTGTGTTCATTTCCACATGTGAACTGACTCGAGTTGAATAACATGGCATTTCTGGCTTTTGTAGAGCTGCTTATCACTGAATTGTTTCAAAATTGTTATTGATCTAAACTGAATCAACACTGAACAGGCTTGAGCTGAATAATGACACTATTTTCTGTTTAGATTATCACAGGACCTCGGTGTTCGGCGAAATATGGTAGGTCTTTTGCGGGGGAATTTTTACTTTACAAATTACAGACATGGCCGATTCGCACGGGATTAAGATCACAGACAACCTCCGCAATTATTACAAATGACTGGAGGTCACCAGGTAATACTAATCCCGTGCGAATAGGGCTTTAGTTAGTTTTGATTGTTTTGAGTGTGAGCAGAATGTCACATGAGGACCGTGTTGGATAAAAACCCTTGACATGTTTCTTCCTCTTTTCTGTACAAATCCTATTACACTTCTCTCTAGGGATGTAAATATTTACTCTGACAACTATTTGATTTGGTTATGATTGCATCTTGAAATCATAGTGATATAGCACTAATATTAATATAAATAAAAATAGATATTTAAATATAAAGACATACTTAAAGTCATGAAGATATATTGTATTATATCATATTATGTTATTAATTTTATTTATTATATTATATTATATTAGTCGACTTTTTTTCTCATTTAAATTACAATTTGGATCCTGGACTGCATTTAAAACAAATAAATGTTGCAAATAAATAAGAAATATTTGAGTTAACGTCTGCTATTGTGTGTCTTTCAGATATCTGGTCACTGGGTGTGATCCTGTACATGCTAGTCTGTGGACACCCACCCTTTCAAGAGGCCAATGACAGCGAGACCCTCATCATGATCATGGACTGTCGCTACACTGTGCCAAACCACGTCTCTCCAGAATGCAAAGAGTACGTATGTCATCCGAGCTTTGATTTTCCTCAGACACACACAACTAATAAACAGATTTCTCAGATTTAATCCAGAAGGCTGGAGGTTATTGTGTATTTATACACTGCTTTTTCATTATTTTATTTTTTTCACTTGAAGCAAAATTGCATTAAAGCAGCACTATGTAACTTTTGGCGCTCTAGCGGTTAATAAACAGAACGGCACACATCCCGCGGAAGAACATTCCAACCGGAGCTACTTCTCTAAGTTTATGTCTATGGCGATTCACGCAGGTATGTGTTACTCCGCAGCGGTGACGACCTGACCAGGCTACAATAGTCCAAATATAAGTACTTATTATAAGTGTACCGTAGTGATTCGGAATAAGACAAAAACGCGGTTTGGAAGATGAATTCATGATGTACTCGCTCATTATATACATTTAGCAAATTTTGAACACAGAAAAAGTTACATACTAGTGCTGCTTTAAATATAAGACTTGTTTACCGACAACATATTTTGTTTTATTAGTTCATTTTTCTTACTCCATTGGCATTTGTTATTTTCTTCTTTAAAGCATGAACCTCATTACATTTATGCATAAAACAAGAAAAAACATTTGGGGTATGAATTTAATTTAAGACGTATTATTTGGAAACAAGTTACAACAAAGTTATCTTAAGCAATTTTGCTCCTGACATAAATTAAACTTGTTTTAATGTATTCACCGGGAAACACAACAGAAATAGATGTTTTTGTGTTGCTATCTAAATAGTCTTCTCTTCAGCATGATAGTAGTTGGGCATTATGTAATAAGTTTTATTAAATCTGCTGAGTGTTTTAATCAGGGTCAGCAGATGTCATATATCAATGGTCTTTTCTTTCCATGCTGGTGCTGTTGAGTTCACTATTTCTAGAAACCAATATTACCAAGGACATGACCCTGGTAAAACCCTTTCCACAAAGACCTGATCTGATGCATGCCCACAAAAACATGCTTGAGTAAATAGACTAGTTTTTAAGATGTCCTTGACAGCCGTGTGCCATTGGAACAGTGTTTTGTTGTGGTGTTTTTTTTTTTCTCTGAGAACTGGCAGGATGTAGTCTCTCAAATCCTCTCAAACACCACTCCCTCACACTCCAGTTTATACCACTTTCATGCTAAACTTCATACCTACATGTAGACCGGAGCCCATCTGAACATACTGTACTTTATCTGTTTACACCCGCTTGTGCCAGCCAATCACAGGTTGTGGTTCTCTAAATGACGCTTGAGCAAGCCAATCAGGCTTCTGTTTGGATGAGCAAATGTTCTTGGAGGTTAGATTTAGGAGCAAGTTATGACAGACACACAGAATTTCCATCCTTGGGCTAGGTGACAGATAATGAAAGTAACAGGTCATGGCAACTCCCTCATTTTTTTTTTTTCATACGGGCTTTAACTAGATTTTCCGGTTTGATTAGATGCACTTGACTTCTTAACTAAGCTTTAGTATATTATTTGAATCATAATGTTGTATTGCTCTTAAGAAGGCTTGGACATGATTTGGAATTTGGATTTGAATTGAAATCAAGTCACAAAAATGCTTTGCAAACAATAATTGCATGATTAATTTTTGACTAATGAGAGTGAGACCTAAATGAAGTGAGACGGAGGCAAGAGTGATTAAGGGTGATAAAATCAAGCCTATTTGTGAAGATGGGATATTTCTTTTTTCCCCCGACAGAAGGTCATGTCTGATGTTCTCGTTCTGCTCTGGTAAAAAACGAATAACAATCTCTCATCATTCTCTCCCTCTCATTTTCCCTTTTTCCTATCAGTTTGATTTCACGTATGCTGCAGAGGGATCCGGCTAAACGAGCATCTCTGACAGAGATAGAGGGCCACTCTTGGTTGCAGGGTGTTGACCCTTCGCCTGCCGGGTACACAGCCGCTCCGCTCACCTCCCACCGCAGTTTGTTACCCGAGGAGCACGAGTTCATACTGCAGGCCATGACCAGTGGCAGCATTGCTGACCGAGATGCCATTCAGGAGTGGGTATCTCTTTATTCTTCTTGGATATTTTCTTTTGGTCTCAGAATAGCCTGGCCTCTTCAGAGTTGCATCATGTAAGTTGTTAATACAAATGCATATTTTGTGATAGAGCACTGGAGGTTGACAGATATAACCACATCACAGCCACGTACTACTTGCTGGGAGAACGACTCCTTCGAGAAAAGCAAGAGCAGTCAAGTCTATCTCCTGAACAAAGACATACACAGTAAGTCCCAGTATTCTTAAACATATCATAGATCATTTTGAATCTGAAGGTGTTTTATCCTCTTAGGTGGTAGAGATAATCTTACCACATAACCCTTGGTACATGGGTTCCTAATACTGAGTACTGTTGTTGGCTCTGTTACAGGAGACCCATGTCAGAACCATTGGACTTGGTGAGCCAAGTTCCCCGGACTGATACACTAAGAGGAACACCTCTAGGTCCCTTAGCGCCTCTCGGTTCTCTGTCTTCCGGCTATGTCCGACGTGGTGTGAGTGAATCTGGGGACCTGCTGGCTCCCAAATCCAACCGTCATGACAACTCCTTCAGTGACTTTTGCAGCACGGCTCCCTGCTTGAGCCTCGGTCTGCACCCTCTACCTCCGGACCAACCTACTGTCAAGAGCCTTGGAGCCTTACAGCAGATCTGTGAGGAAGAAGAGGATGAGGATGATGAAAACGAGCAGAACAGGGATGAGATGAAACTTGAGGTGGCACCAGGTAAACTGGATCCTCTTCCTTCAACGGATCTCTCGTTGAAACCTTCTAGAACATCTTTGCAATCAGAGACTCAGAGGAGAACAGGCAGACCGTCTTGTAAAGTGATGGGAAACTGTGAAACTCTGGCTGAGGAGGAGGAACTTGAGGAAGGGTCGGAAATCAGGGAAGAGCAGAAGAAGCCTTCGGATTCAGTGTCTAACATCACTTCTGGCACCATAGAACATCAAGGACAGATGCCCCCAAACACTGAAGCCCATGTGGAAGAGTTAAACCACACAGAGCAACCAGGCAGAGGAAGGGACAAGGGTGTTTTCACCCACCCTAGCTTGTCTTTAGATGAGCAAGAAGGAGAACAAATTCAAGGTCCAAATATAGATGAACCTCCACCACCTTCCAGACTAGATGTTGTACAGTGCTGCTGGGGACAGCGTGAACCTTCGAAAAACACGCTAGAAAACAACAATAACACCCTAGCCAAATCTCGACTGCTTGAAGTTGGGGTGGTGTCAACCCCTTGTGGTTCCCCAAGGTCCCTGCCAAGGAACCACTGTGTGGACCTGGGTCCCGATGGGGTGGAGATGCGTAAGACTGCGGGAGAAGTCGAGAAACCTGAGGAGGTACAGCCTAAACCACAAAAAGGCCTCCAGGGAACCAGGGACACAAATACTGACCCTGCTATCCGGGCCGATCCCAGCAAGGTCAAGAACGTAAACTTGCGAGAACGTCTGCTGCAGTTCCCGCTCTGTGAAAAAGCCTTGTCCTTCAACATCCAGCCCACTTCTAAAGAGAAGCTCCTGCCATTTGCACAGTACAACTGCTGCCATGTGTTGTAGAGGTTGTATCCCGAGATCAAGGAACAAACTGATATCAACCGAAACCCTCCAACCTCTACAACTCTGGAGTTGTTCAGACAATTAAAGAAAAAGTGTGTTCTCACCTCATACTGTAACCTCAGAGGTGCTTTTCCACACAATCTACTTATTGTATATCTTTATTTTCTTTCCCAACCCAGCATTCCTTGCTGCTTTCCTGTAAAACAGTTAACCTCCTGACAATGCTGTGTATACGAACACCTGTATCGACTGACACTGCTCACTATATTCTGTGCTATCTCAGAGACTTTCATTCGAAATATTGTATGTCTTGCTAGCGTAGGAGCTTTAATTCAATAACTTGTCATTTTGCGCTGTAATATCTTTACCACAATAAGAGTTCCACCGAGTTTAGTCATATCACTAAGCGAGTGGGTGAAGACCATGCTTCAGAGCAACACATAATAAGCCAACACAAGAACAGACAATGAACAATCACAACAGTGGATGTTTAGATTTAAGAACTAGCTGTCCCGTCAGTGTAGTAGTCCTGACACGTTTTTGGTTTTCGTTTGATGTATTTTTGCAGGCAACTGTGAGGCAATGGTCTTTACTCAGAACTTGTAAGAAGTTGCATGCTGTGGCATTGTTGTTTTTCCCCACACCACTGTCTCATGCTAGCATGTTTGCTAGCATCTTTACCCTCAGGCAGTGGGACAGGAAGCAGAACACTTTGCCACATTGATACAGTGAACAGTGACAGTTTGGGAGCATGGTTATGAGAGCATGCTAAATCAAAACAGCTTAGCATAGCATTAGCATTTTGTGAGCAGGGGACTGACCAGGGAAAGATGCTAAGTATATCTGTATATTTAAAAAAAAACAAGAAGAGGGCTCAAACAGATTATTCTGAGAGATTATGACGAGAGACTTTTTGTGAAATGGACATAATATTACACAAAACAGAAGACTGGTCTTCCTGGAGCTATATTTTAGTTTGTTTTAAAACTACTAATTCTTGGAAATATTATGAAGCTTTTATCAAGCATTAGAAAGTTATCAAGGGTTTTTTCGAAAGATGGTGACAAAGACACTTTTTTTTTTTTACATAAGGAGATATGCGAGGGAGATTAATTACATAACATTCTATCTATTTTTGTTTAATCATCTGCCTCTGGGTGCATCTTTAACATATGTTGTAAAGGGATAAGCTGTTTGAAATATCCAGTCATGTACAGTGTATATATTCTTTTGGACATATTATGCTATTGGTATGATGTATTTTGACCCTTGCACCGTATACATACCAAACATTTCAACCCTTCCATTTTAGATCTTATTCAGTGAACGTAGCAGTTTGATGACACTAGTTTGGTGACTGACAAAAAGGTCATATAGTTTCTTGTGTCATAGTTGTAAATACATTTGAAGAGCTGTACATTAGCTTAAAATGTACATTGACAAAATCCAGCCTTCGTATGTTGCAATGGCATGAGTGAAGCTAGCGGTTACTGTTGTTTTGACCTCCTAAACAGCCTAAACACATCACATAATCATTTAGATAGCAAATGTGACTGTGGTTTCTGTTACTTTGGTACTCTAAAGGATGTCAAAGCTATTCAGTCACTTCACATGTTCGTAATTTTCTGTGCTATACGTAGTGCACTTGTCACCGGTGAATTCATTTTTTTTGGTCACACTGTAGCCAATGAAAGTGCAAATGTCAAATACACTTATTTTTGTTTGCGAAATCTTGTACCACAGATAAGCTTGACCAAATGCACAAGAATAGATAATGTAAGAGGTGCTTTAGGGAGAGATAGCAAGAAATATAGGCCTATATAGACAAATTACATATCCATAACTTCTGAGATTCGAATTTTCATTCCCATTCTATGTTTAATCAATCAAGGAACAGCCATCCTGGCCTAGGATGATTTGTAAGTACAACCTTCTGGACCAATCAGAGGGCAGAGTGATATATACGTAAAACCAGACATGCACTATATTTTCGTAATCAGCATTTTTATTTTCTTCTTATTTTGATGTTTCTCATTTGACATGGGTCTCCATCCTTCAAAGCATCTGTAATCACTTTACAGCGAAAGTCGGATTTGGGTTTGTCTATAGTCCCATTGACCCTTACTAAAACTATGACTGTGTCTCAATGAGATTAATTTATTTTTATATTTATTTATTAAAACTGATTAAACTGCCACATGTGTTGTCCTAATTTTTATTAGAATTAGAGCACTAGACCACAGTGATCTTCATGTATGGCTGTTTATTGTATGATGTGGTTTTCTCAGTTTAAAGCCATTTGAATATTTATTATCAGTTTCTTCAAGGCCACTTACATCACTTAACATTTGCATAACATATTCAGTGAAGCAAGCATTGGGTGGTTTTTAATACCAGCAAAATCAGCTGTAATAATACGATCACTTTTGATGAAATGTAAAAATACAACTGAGGACAAAAAGTTAAAATCATCACAATATATTAACAAAAAAATCAGGTAAAAACAAATATACAAACAAAACAACAGCAAGAAAAAATAATTAAATGAGCTATTCCATAGTAATTGTGGTGAACTTTTGTTTTAAAATCATTAATACAGCACAATACGTCACCATGTTTACCCACTATCATAATTTTATCGCCCTTGACCTTAATAATCTCTTTTCAGTAGTTTTCAAAAAGGTACCACTGATGCAAACAATTATTAACTTGGGCTGAAACACCCTGTAAACTATAAAAGCTATCTTTGGTACACTGTGCCATATGATATATTAGCAAGCTAAGTATGACTTTATAGCCAAGCACCGCCCTTCTTGTGATTGTCTCTATGGAAATAGTCTTTGGTTACTCTTCCATTTAGGCCTTCAAAGGGACTTTGTCCTCCACATGAGAGCGCATGATCCTCTGTGAGACAGAAAATAATATTTAATGACATTTCTGGTTATGTAAACACTCCATAACGTACATTAGATTTAAAATAATTTGTTGGTTAATCACGAGGCCTTTAGTCTTTGATAAGAAACTAGTTAATAAAATTAATAAAAACAGATTACATTCTGTCAGCATTATTATCAACGTTGGAAAATAGCTAAAGGCAATTTCTTTAAGGATGCTCTTGCTAACTATATGCTAACAGCTAAAAACTAGCATAATGGTTACTGCTACACTTTTTTCTTAGCTTTGTATCTAGATAAAGATTTTAAATTTAATACAGCTTGTTAAGCAAAATACTAGCGTGCTAAAATGCTAACAGTTAACAGTAGTAACTAAAGTTACCTGTTTTTTAAGCGCTTGCATGGAGTGATACTCGATTTGTTCTCTCTTGATTCGGACCCAATCCGGTTCATCAGGGATCATGAAGGCCAAAATCATCTTCACCATGATCAGGGCATGCTAGAGGAGCAAACCAGCGTAAGAAACAACTAAGCCACAATATTCATTCACAAAGAAAGCATGTTGGCAGCCAGCTAATTCACTCCAGATAAATGCTAGTACAAGTCATATTATGAGTTGGGAAGATGTATTTACAATGTTAGGTGCATTCAAAACACTTTGGTTGGAGCAAGTTGGCGATGTATCTTTTTCAGAACAGCTTAGCATTAGCATTTTGTGAGCGTGGGGATTGACAATGATACAAAAGAAAACAACAACAATTTTGCTTGTAATTACAACTTTGTGGTGGTGTTCATCTGTGTTCAAACACAGTCTTTCCAAGACAACTTGAACGCACCATTAGTCACATTGATTTAAAGGGATAGTTCACCAAAAATTAAAATTCTAATTTTTTAATTCTGATATTATGTGGTACACAAAAAGAAAATCTTGACATTTTTGTCACAACAAAATTTCAACCTTTTTGTTCTTTTTTAAGCTTGTGGTCACTAATTTCATTTTTGGACAGACTATTTTTCAAGGCTGTACCAAAATCCTCTCTAACCTCCACAATGACGGCAATGATGAGAACTTTGCTGCTGCTGAGACCGGCGTCCTCTGTGAGTTCCTTCACATGCGGCGACAGAAGCAGCAGCCAACAGTTAGACATGACTGAGATGAAACTCAGCACCTCAAACGCCGTCTATAAAAACGACAAAGACACACATTAGAACTCAGTATCATACAGCATTTTAAACATCCATATATACAGGACAGATCCCAATCTGACCTGCCATACACCCATGTTAGGCACAGGGGCCGAAAAGGGCTTGTTGAAGAGCTTGCAGAGCTTGTAGGCGTCTGTGCGGATCTCTGTGAGGTTGTTGAGCAGTAACAGAGGGGCAGTGATGGGATAAACACAAGAGAAAAGGCTCAAGTAGCCAAACTGAACCAGCAGCTCGATGTACTCAGCAAACAGGCCCTGAAGAGGAACAAGATTGAGAATTTAAGGAAAATAGGATTCTTGTATTCTTGATATTTAAGCTTATTTGATTGCTACTCACTGGGAAAGCCGGCAGACTGCCCTGAGCCTGGAGATGGTCCACCTCTGGATCATCTTCCTTCAGGTTCCTGTCTGCAGATGTGAGGAAACGGTCCACCAGGAAAGGAACCACCACCTCAGTGAACTGATTCACCACTTGAGTCACGATCAGAAGAGAGGAAAGCCTCTAAGGAGGAGATCACAGATATTGTGTTGAGATAGAAATCTTAGGATTATATGTGAGAAGGGTTTCTGAGGAAATTCCCACCTTGCGCAGAAGAGGCATGTCCTCCTTGAAGAAGGCAATGTGGAACAGCACAGCAAAGTTATTAAAAAAGGTGAACTGAATGAAAGAGAGAGGGACAGATAAGGCACATGGGACATTTTCATTTAGTATTACACAGTCCTGCAGAATAATTCTGGTCTAGACAGCTACAGCTATCAGCATTTAAAACACACTTGAGATCTTTGAGGTAAAACACCTTCTATGAAACACACACTAACAGGTAATTTAGAAAAGGTGGTGGGGAAAAAACATATGGATATGTAGACAATTATTAAACTGACCACAAGGACTTTGGTGGTATGATGATAGTCAAAAGATGATTCCTCCCTATGATTTTCTGAAAGGCAAGAAAGTTAGTAATATTTAATATAGTATAACATCACTTATATGTGTTTGTGTGTTTTCTTATTTATAAACTTATTTAATTTTTACTATAAATAATTATTATAAATATTTAAAATATTAATAAATTAAATATTTAATATATTTTTAATAAAGTAAGTTATTTAATAAAACTGTCAAAGAATTGTAATTATGTTTTATATATGATATAAAAATATATAGATTAATAAATTATGACAGAAAAGCCAGAAGGAAAATTTTTAATATGTTTATCTTATCTATTTTCTATATATAAGTTAAGAAGCAATAGCTAATCTGAACATCTCAAAGCAATGTGCATTTTAATTATCTCTACAAAAAACTATTATTTTGACATTCTATGTACATTTTTACAATTTTATTATATATATTTTTTTTAAAGATATTTAGATATTTTAGATATTTATAATAATAATAATAAATATAATTTATAATTTTTTACAGAATATTTTGCAAAATATGAAAAGATTATATCACCAGTATATGATATTTACATATATTATAATTATGTCTAATAATTTGTTATATTATTAAATATAATTATAGTAAGAATTTAATCACAAACAATTTAAATTAACATTAATAACATTAATCAGGTTCTTTTGCCTGATCTTTTTCTTACCTGCTTCTGTTAGCTGCAAGGCCACGTTGCGATATATATTCCCCAGCACATTAGTGTAGACAATATGGCCTATAGAAGGGAGATATAGCAAGGCTGCTGTGAAGTATGATCCAGATGCTTTGTGCCAGTTTGAGACCAGGCGCTCAAAGAAGTAGAAACCTGCCATCCCCATGACCACCAGACCCAAAAACACCCCGACCACAGGCAATGACACCAGACCTATCCTAAGCCTCCTCTTCCATTCGGGAAACAGCGGCTCCAGTCTGCCCGTGACCGGATTGGTGCCGAGTTCTCCATGGAAACCCGGTCGGGGCTCTTGAAATTGTTCAGCTAAATTGAAAGTGCCCCAGCGATAGGATAAAGCTGCGCTCCTCCTCTTCCACAGCTCCATGAATACCGTGGACCACAGCATGCTGAAGACTGCCTGCACCATGTAGGAGCTGACTGAAGGCTGGTCATCGTCATGCTTCGGCAGTGTCGGCTCGCTGTCAGTTTTATTTCCATTGGAGAAGTTTGCACTAGGGAGGAAAAATTATTGTTATAACATATTTTATGTTATATATTGTTAAGACCTGATTTCCTATCATATAAAGATATAGTACAGATAAAAAAAATATGAAAGTAAGGAAATGTTTAAGTTTGTCAGGGATTTAATTTTTGTGAGAATAAATATATATATGCTATATATATATATATATATATATATATAGTATATTATTATAACATATGAACATTATTATTATTTTATTTATTTATTATATTATGGAAAATCCAGAGTGTTAGATATCATAAAGCTGCGAATCTGTAGATATCTAAAGAAATGTGTTTGTGGAATATTATATTTAGCTCTTATTTGAGAAAATGACATAAAGCTACAATCACTATATAGATCCTTCAGTGTGACAAGTCCTTTCTCTACCCAGCAATTAAAAGCAGCATCATAACGTGTTTTGTTTATCAAGTTCTCGTTTTTTTTTATTTTTTTTTTTTATTATGAAAGTAAGAATACGTTTCATATGTTTCTTAAGTTCCTTGTATCATAACATAAAATACTGATAGTCTTACATATAGTCTTAAATTAGAGATGCACTGATGTTTTGGCCAATAATCGGTATCAGCCGATAAAAGCAATTATTTGCACTAATCTTGGCCGATTGTTTAAAAACATCCGATGATCAGGGCTGATTATTTCCTGTCAATCGAAAGGCGGCGGAAAACTGCAACTTGCAAGAAGAATGTTTCTTGTGTCAAATTTAGCGCTGTTCAAGTTAAAGTAATAACGTGTTAATGCTGGTTCTATTTGACCCTATGAATGACCCGTAGTTCAAGCCAGATCACCTTAGCCGTTCAGTTAACAGTGCAGCGCGGAGCGCAGTTTCTTTCAGTTTTATACAAGAGATAGCGCGAAATACACATGAAGGAATATCAGAAGGTATGTTAAAAGAATACAGTACAGCTTACCGAAATGTATTATGTCTCATGTAATCACTCAATCAGCGTTTCAACCGAAAGAAGACGTCAAATCAAACAGCTTGTAAACAATAGCCTGTCACTTAACGGTGCGTTTACCTTAGGAAAGTTATCAGTGTTCACAATTTGTTAGTTAAACCACTAACGTTAGAGGCAGCTTATTTACTAAGTTTGAATAAATGTCATCAAGACAGATTTTTTTAAATGAAAAATACCTTATGTTCAATTGTGTTTTATACAGTCGTTTTTATTTGAGCGTGATTACTATATCAGGAAATAAATAGGCTACAGTTGAATATAATACTTTTGTGGTTACTTGTAACCTCTGATATTAGCTATTTACCAAACGAGAGGGTTCCCTGTATAGTTTACAGCATTAGTTGGGAGAGATTTTTTTTTCTCTAAGAAAACTAAGCTATCGGTACCATCGGCATCCTGAACGGATCCTGAACAATCGGCTATCGTTATCGGCTGAAAAATTTCGTAAAGGTCCATCAATATATATTCAGCATAGCGTTAGTTCAGGCAGGCCACGTCAGTCAAGTTCGCATCAGCCGACAGTCAGCTGTTCCTGACGTGTACCAATCCAGCCTTGACACCTATCACAAGCGGTCTATTTAAATTCCCATTCTTCAGCGTCTCTTCCATCGCATCACTGCTTGCAATTAACTCCCTCCTCCAACCCCAACTCCACCTAACTGAACCTGTAATTCGATCTGACTTTTGTTTCTTCCTTTACAGTCACTTCATTGGAAGCATTCTCTATCACATATTGTTTACAACTCATGTAATTGTGAATTGTAATTATGTATGCATATAATGGTTCTGTTCTGTACCCCGGGGGGGTTTGTCTTGCTGCTCTCCCCGCTCTGTCCAAGCATGGCTGCATGGACAGAGCGGGTGGAGTGTTGCCCAGAACATAACCATACCGCCAACACTAACTGTATGCAATATAATTGTAATAAATATACTTGACGAAAGTGGTCCTGATTGAAATATATATATATATATATATATATATAT